CACTTGAAATAACATTGTCATCACTATGCAGACGACCAAAAAGAAAGTTGTATCTGAAACTATCAGACGTGTTCGGAAGAGCAACTCCAAAATAAAATTAAGGATCAAAACCTGGAAAGAACACGCGACTCTGGCAAAGTGCCTGCACGGACTGATAGTATTTTAGTTTAGGTTTGAACAAGTTCTTTTCTGTGAGAATAGGCATTTTGATATTTTTAATGTGGTCTATTAATGTTAAAGGGGGAGCTGTTTCACAAATATGACGGGAGGTCGGTTCTATGATGCCATTCTACATTCTCAAATTTGCTGACAGCAGCCAGAGAAATTCTTTTTCACAAAATATTCCATAAATGATGGAATACATTCTGACTTCATTCTTATTCGACTTGAAAAGCATTTATGTCCCCATTTATATGACGCTTCTTTATAAAAAATTACTTAATGGTCTACTTGTTCACTATGTTCCTACCAGAAACTTGCGATAAGCACATTTAGATCAAATGTTTCTGTTACCTATTTAAAGGCGTCTTAAAATTTATCGAAACATCTCTTTTAAGTAAGCTGGCCCAGTGGAATGGAACATGCACATTTAAACTCGTTGAATTGAACCATCTGAGAATTGTACAAATTAGATAAAATCTTTTTTTTTTAAATTATCATTGTTTTTTTTTTTAATTGCTTAAACTTGCTTTTAACCCTCAAGTGACCGAGTGGGGTCATTTACGACCCCAGCCATATGATTTAATGTGCCATCTCTTTATTTTTTATTCGAATTTTCTTTCTTTGCACGAGTTTGTCAGTCTATCAATCCTACACACTTTCACAGTTTTTTGTAGGGATCAACCAATTATACATCACAAAATCTTATGGGGTCATTAATGACCCCAAAGAGAAGCAATGGGTTTTAAATATTAGTTTTTAAATTTTATTCAAATGTTTTGCCCACGCAACACTGACAGGAAAATGCCACATGCATGTGCTTCATGCAACCAGCCAGTGTGCCCAAAACATAGGCACAAATAAGTGGTTTGTGAAGACTGTGCTCGAAGTGTTACTAATAGTGCATCGCTGAATCTAATTTCAGTAGCTTTGTTGGAACTTGTTCTCATAACTGGGTCTGTCATTTTGATGGTTACATGAATTTTCGGGTATTTCGGAAATCTAAAGAATTCGGTCTATATCATATTTTACATACACACACTGGACAAAAGAAGTGTCACCCCTACTGAGCCAATTTTATGGGGGAGATAAATGACTGTGGAATGATATGCTCCTGGTATCATTTTATTAACATCAAATTTCACAAAAAATCACAAAATGAGAACAAAATATACATTCTACCAAAATATGCAGTTTCAAGTCCAAAATTAGTACTTAGTGGCATAGCCACGTGACTTAATANTTTTTTTTTTTTTTCAAATTACATTTACTTGCTACAGTTGAAATAAATAGTTTTAAGGAAGTTTGAGTCGAGCCCTTTTTTCTCTTTCCACATCACAGAGTGCTCTGAATAAGACAGTGTCTCTTTTTTCAGTCTGACCCACACTGGAATGTACGACACTCTTACCAAGGTCAACATAAAACACTCCGACAGAGATGACCACGAGGTCACACAAGACAGGCCACAACCCAAGCAGAGAGAGGCCAGTCATGAGTACGACTAGTGAAGGCAATCAGCATGGTATATCCAGCAGTTTTAGTCAGTATTCCCCAGTGTTGACAGGGCGTTGGATGCTAGACTGAGATAATATGTATTGTGTTGAAAAGTAAAAGTAAAAATACACCTTTTGTGTGCAGCAGCACCATCCCTGTCAGGCTGAATGATGTATTAATGTGAACACTTGATGTATACTTGATTGGAAGAATTGAGGGAATGGTAAAAGCCCAGTATATAAGGCATTGTAAAATATGGCTCCATCAGTCTTTATGGAAACTTGTCAGTCAGTTTATAGTACTTTTATATGTAAGAAAATTGTATTTAATTTAATTTAATTTAATAAATGTCATTTTTTGTTTATTTTTTTTTTATTATTTATTATTTAGAAATGAAATTCTGCTAACAATAAGAAAGAATGTTCAGAATTAAGTGGGAGCAATGTTCTCAAGTTTGATAGTGGAAATCATGTCCCATATTTTACCCAGCTGGTGACACAGAGAATCTGTGGTGAAACACAGCAGTATTTATTTCTCAGTGTTTTTGTGGCAAGCTTAGGAGGGAATGGCAACATATAACTGACTGAGGGCTCGCTGTGTTTAAATGTGATACTTGTAGTAGTACATGAAGTATTATATATAAAAGGAATTGTTTTTGAGTATATTTGAAGGAACACCTAAATCATAGTTGTTGTTTGTCATGGTTCTTTCTTGATATTCAGAGCAGTTTGAAGAATTGAATGTTAAATATCTTGAATAGCAAAACAAGAGACACTGTGACATAATCAGAAGCAATTGAAATATCAGATTTTAATTTCTCTCGCAAATAAACAAGCTTTTTTTGTTTTATGTGAAAGTTATGTTTTTTAAACAGTTTCATTTTAACTCCCAACAAAGCCATGCCATTAGTCTGTGTGAATGAATTTGTACTTAAAAGGTTTAGGCAGAGGTATTTCCATACCACAAGTTTTACCCACTCTAGCTTTTTCTCTTTACAATAGCAAAACTATATTGAAACAGTGGCTTTGACTGGTTTCCCACAGATTTAGATCGATCCATCTGGATCCACCTAACTCCCTGGGGGTTCACACTAAATTGCTGTCACCCGACCACGCACGAAAGTTAATTACCCTCTTACAGCTTTTAGTAGGCAGGACGGACATTTAAGCCGGCTAATCTGACAACAATCTAGTGAGACTCCCCACGGGGATAGATCGATCTAAAATCTGTGGGAATGCAGTCTTTGTTAATGTGGCTCTACCCTGAGAGTCGGAGTTAACTAGAAACTAACCTGTATCATCTCCATGCCTGTTTCTGTGTGTCTAGACACAGTACCTTGCTAAATTCAGGGTATATCCAGAGTTTGAGAGTACCCTTGCAGCATCTCTAAGACCCCATTCCCATAGATTTTAGATCGATCTATCCCTGTGGGGAGTCTCACTAGATTACTGTCAGCTTAGCCAGCTTAAGTGTCTGTCCCGCCTACTGAAAGCTGTAAGGGGGTAATTAACTATGGTGCACGCTCGGCTGACTGCAATTTAGCATGAACCCCCAAGGAGTTAGGTCGATCTAAATCTAAATCTCTGGATCCATCTAAATCTTTGGGAATGCACCCTAAGATACCAGCCCATGCTTCCTGCCATCCTGTTAGTCATCAACATATTTGAAATGAATGGCATATGTTTGTTGGATTAAGAGAAGGGGGTGGTCTACGCTATGTGTTGAGATCAAGTTCCCCCACCTGTAGCCCATCTATTGTTTTGTTCATTTATATATTATGTGTCCCACTAAGATGTTTGCAGAATGTACAGACTGTTCTTAGATAAATATGGTAAAATAAACTATATCAGATTGAACGCTTTTATTTTGGTTGGTCAGATTTTTAAGCTGGCCTTCAAGTTATGTGGTCAGACATTGTCGTTACTGTAAGAAGAGTTGATTGGGGGGGGGGGGGGGGTTGGAGGGAGGAGTGGTGCACTCTCAAGTAATATGAATGCATTTTCAACCATGAGACTTATTATATTTTAAAGGAGTGTAGACAGCATATGCTCATTTTTGAAGTTTTTAAGAAATGTTTGCAAGCAAATAATGTAAGACTTTTCTTTCCTGGCCCATCATAGTATTGGGGTATACACATGAACTGGTTCGCTATGATGCATGTTAATTATTTGACAAATATTACAATAAGTTCTCTTAACCTCAACAGAAACAAACACTTTGAAGTTTGAAATATCATTTAATTACATACATTATCTGCACCTTAAACATTCTGTACAATTTCAATCATAATACAAGATTTTCTTAATAGAAGTACTTATTAACCTAAAAATTTCTAGTTTAAAACATGACCACTGCTTTTATGATTCATCACAGCATATGCTCCCGCATTACCAGAACTTATTTTGGCATGTCTGTTTGCACCTTTCTTAAATTATGCACAGAATTGAACCAAAATTCAAGAATGGAATATTTGTTTCTTTACAGTGGTTAAAGTAAAGCATTTACAAACAAAAAATGTGGATAATTATTTACACCAATAGAAGCATAAAACAAGCTAATTTTAAAAGATGAGATTCTATAAAACCGTTAATTGTGATAAAGTGAATTAAGTGATGAATTGTGATATAAATGACTGCAGCCCTAATTACAATAATTATTATCAACCTGATGTTTTTATACATCAAAATAATGAAGCAAAAGCAGTTGCAATGGTATTCACGACAAAATTAATGATCGAAGGATATGATCTGTGCATGCATTCCCTGAAATGAAAATGGTTAAGGCAAGTATTTATGATGATTTAAGCAACATTACAGTTATTGTTTAGCTAGGGCATTTAGCACATGTCTAAATATTGGAGTAGCAACTCATAATAAGACATGATTTCCTTCAGCTTCCTTTGTCTGATGTTCTGCTTAGAAAAAATGTTCCAGTTTTCTTAACTTGTGAACATGAACCTTGATGTTGTTTGATCCAAAGCTTCAGCCCTGATGCATGCCAGCTTCTTAATTTCCAAAACTCCACATTTGCATGTTTACAGCATACTTGAAAAGTAAACTTTGAGGTGACCAGCATGGGGTCTGAATCCTTGACTGATAATAGCCTCATACTAATGAATTTAACTGAAGTCTTTTCAAATAAAGTGATGAAGCCCCATGTTGTGCACATCCATGTTTTTTTTATCACGTCAAGAGATATCAGCGTAGGAGTTTTATTTCACTGATCACATTGACAAAGAGATATCCATCAACCAGACTTGATTTTTTTTACAGATCTAAATGGGAAATCCAATTTTTTCTTGATGGTTTTCTGACTTGAGCTTCTGATCACTGGTCGAAAGGCTGATGAACCATTTCTTCCTAGTTTTTTCTTACAACCCAAAATCATGTCTGATCTATGACATTTTGCGGCCTAACAGTGCTGTAGGTACAGGCAGTTCCAGACATCTTTTCACTGTGTCATACGAGGCCATCATAGAGGGTCAGTGCTTGGACAATTGTGGGATCATTTTTGCACCCTTCCAGAAATTCTTCCATTGTTAATAAATTGTCTCTGTTCTGAAAAAAAAAAAAAAAAGATTTCAAAGCATCCAATTTTCATACAAAACAGTGGTGCTTTAACCCATTAATACTGCATTTACTGATCATTGAGTTTAAAATTCCAGTGAAATGGCCAAAGATAAATTATACAAGGCATAATGTGTCTTGCAAAATTCTAATGTTCTTACCTTGTCCATGGCACTGAATATTCTGTTTACTCTTTTCTCTGGAGTGTTTTCTTCCTCTGGGAGCTTGGCCTGACTACCCTGAAAAGAAGAGAATGGGCAAATGACATAAATGGTTCTTTGAGGCAAAATTATTTCAATTTAGACGTTCAAGCCATTGATCCTTTGAGTTTATATATTGTATACAGAAACGAAACCACCCTTTAAGTTTATATGATTTATACAAAAACATAAATCAAACACAACCTAAGAACAGCCTTCACCACCTCCCAAGATGAGTAAATGAGGGCACCTTCCCCAGAGGTACAAGTTTTTTAAATAGGATATAGTTCAGATATGGTGATTTATCAAAAAATATTGTTACGTAATGTGATGTGACCAGAAACTCTATTGTTTCAATCTCTGTACATGTGCCTAAAGTGGGAAACATTACGTCAAAGATTGAATGATAACAATTGAGTAACTTAATGGCAGGGTGGTGGGGAGACGGGATCCCTAAAAAATCAAAGGATCAGCAGCTTTATCAGCAGCATTAATTTTATCACCTGCTCCGGTACATACAAGGCAACTGCCCCAAACTAGAGCAATTATTGTATATATTTATTTTACATAATCATGATCAGGTAGATAATTGACTTCCTGGTCCACCTTTACTTACCACCATACTGTATATGGAATCCACTATAGCCAACATTTCCGACCTCGTGATGAAGCCATCCCCATCCAGGTCATACAGTTTGAAAGCCCCTGGAAAACAATTACATGTAAATATGTTCACTTTGCTTTAAATTTGTATCTAGTATTTTCAATACATGTAAACTAAAATCTGAAAAGATATGTATTAACTTTTACACCCCATGTAGTACTTATGGTTTTGGCAACAATTAACTAATACGGGCCTCTGAAAATTGCCAATATGTATATGGCTTAACATGTGTCAATTTAGACTACTGAATAGAGTGCAACAAACAATAATCTCAATATTGAAGATATAAAATAAACTACCCCAAAATGACAAAAAAAGTTAAACTTTTAAGGTGTGCCAACTTTTCAGAAACTGTGTATACATATGACAACAAACAAATGCTCTTTTTTCAAATTTCTTGGATTAGACCCTATATGCACGCTCTACCATAAACTTCTTTTCAGTACATAAAAAGTGAATGCAAAAATGATAAATAATATATCTGCCTTACATTCCAGTTTTTCATCTAGACTGCCTCTGGATGTGACAGACAGCGCACAGATGAACTCCTTGAAGTCGATTTGATTGTCCTGGAAAATAGAACACAAGAATTAGGATACATTCACAATGAGTCTATTGTACTAAGTAGTTCAAACGAACTCTGTGAGAACTATAACTGAATGCAATTTGAGTAACAGATCAGCTAGTAGGATATATTCATTGTGAACACACCCTGAAGAGAGCTGAAATCCATTCATTAATCTGTGATCAAAAAGCTTTTAGCTCACTCCCATAATGTAAAACTCGCACAAAAACTTGAAAGTTAATTTCTTTGCCTGGAAATCGGGATAATAATTCATTGTACCACCAGCGTTAGCGCTGGCGGTACACATGGTTTCGGTCCCGTCCGGATCGTTCCGCCGGCTCCG